ATATATATATATATATATATATATATATATATATATTGTGAATTCCGTACCGGGCATGTTTCCATGCCACCTCTGCCCGAGAAGTTGTCGTTCGCGTATCGGGCTGCTATCTCATTTGGCAGCCCAAAGAAGAGGGACGAATGGATGGATGGACAGCGTCGTCGTCAACAATGACGGACAACCTAAGACATATATATATATATATATATATATATATATATATATGTGTGTGTGTGTGTGTGTGTGTGTGTGTGTGTGTGTGTGTACGGCGAAATAGAAACATAAACAACAATATTAATATTTTTTATAAAAATCAGATGAACAAAAATTATAAACAGGATGAATGCAGAATTAAGAACATTATAAAAAAATGTATAACACCAGTTAACAATGGCAAAAAAATTAGATTAATTATGTATTATAAAAAACTTAAAACCTCTAACCTTATAGTTAAAAATAATAATTCACCTCGAACAAAATTAAATTGGGCAAATATTATTTACGAATTTAAATGCCCAATAAAGAATTGTATTCCTGGTCAATCAAAATTCGTAAATAATTATATAGGCCACACTACAACATGTTTGACACGCAGACACACTCTACACCTTTCTGACCATAGCTCAATTAGATCTCATTTAAATATTCATGGAGACCTACCGGACACTATTCGTAACATACTTGTTGACAACACTAATATAATAGCATCATCTACATGCAAAAAAGGCTGAAAATAATGTAAGCCTCATGAATAAAAACAAACAAACCAACACTTAATAACATTAACTTTGAACATGGACATAATATCTTGACCATGTTTGGAAACAAAAAAAAATGAAAACATTTTATAAAACATACATACAACATACTATTTCTAATTTTCACAGTTAAAATATAATCCTTGAAAATGTCTAAATGTATAGCTGAAAGTGCTCGGATAAAAAGTACATTCGGAGAGTTTTTATATAATTTATCATCCGAAAAGAAAAAAAAATATTAGATCGCACGAGAAATTGTATAAAAAACTAAATAAAAACACCTTGTCTGTCGTTTTCAATGAAATGTACATGAAAGAAGGATTGCTGCGTAAATACACACACACACACACACACACACACACACACACACACACATATATATATATATATATATATATATTAGGCTAGTGTATCAATTTCACTGCCTAGTACAACCCTACGTTTATTGTCAGAAACAAGTTACCTATATCGGACATAATTAAGTAGATGCCTCACGTGTTACTTATCAAAGCAAAGTGCAATAAAAAAAGCATGTATCTACGCACAATCTACAAGAGCTCTTAAGAAAATGTAAATCAAATTACCAAAAACTTCTCGCTATAAGAAGGGCACAGTATATTAAACATCTCTCTCCCACTATCAACTTCACCTTGTTTAACAATGGCAGTGGCGTGCTGAAAGTTTTTTAAGAAATAGAAAGACGCCTTTTCGAATTTCAGCCGCGCTCAACACACGAAAGCTGGGAATAAACGCTCCTACTAGTATTCATAACAACATAAAAAGTACATCTCAAACAGCAAAATAATGAAGAGAAACTAACAACACCAAAACAAAACCCCTTTGAAAATGGCTAAAGAATTGGCCAAAGCGCTTGGAAGAGTCGACGATATAGACAGTTTTTGTTTTCGTTCACTCCACCAAAAGGGAAAATGTAAAAACGCTGAAAAAACTCAATAAAAATGAATCAAATTTTACTTGTCCGTCATATTTAATGAAAGATATTTAAAACAAAGGTTGCTGTCCAAATATATATTATAATGGACTCTCCCGTCGGTTTCGACGTATGAGGATCTGACAGCTTATTGATTCAGTAATGAAAGTTTGTGCGATAATCTTAAGTGGCATTTAAGACCCGCTAGCGATTTACAAAGGAGGCCACATATGAAGCAAGTGTGAGGACTGTGAGATGAGATCGCTGTTAGATTTGCTGTCCTTTTAGATCTTGCTCTCGCTTCTTGAAGATGATTCAGACAAGCAGATTGAAAATTGCTGAGTTCATTAAAACACGTTGATGTCCATTCTACCGGCTCCAAGGCTAAGCACTCAAGGGTGTTAAGTGGCATATTGACTGCTGACAAGTTGCTTTTCAGCTTGTCTTTGTATCTTAGCCATGGGCGTCCTACATTCCTGTAGCCCTGATCTAACTGGCTGTACATTAGGATCTTGGGTATCCTGTCATCAGACATTCTCAAGACATGACCAGTCCACCGTAACTGAGACTGTATGATAAAAGTCTCGATTTCTCCAATATTACACCTGTTAAATAGGTCTACGTTAGATGTCCTATCTTGAAGCTTAACTCCACGCAGACAGCTTTTATGGAAAACATCCAGCGGGCGTATATGGTACCTGTATGGAGTCCACGACTCTGAGCCATACAAAAGGATGGCAAGTACAACAGCTCTGTAAACCCGAATTTTCGTATCCATTCGAATACCCCGCTCATTCCACAAGCGATGGCGAAGTTTGTCGAAAGCACTGGTAGCCTTAGCAATCCGATGCATGATTTCATCATCTAAAGTTTCACTGTAGTTGACTTTGCAACTAAGATAGGTGAAAGACTTTACATAGTTCAGGGCTTTGTCTTCTACTTTCAATGGTCTCTCTGGAAATTTGTAGACTGGTGGTTTTTGTTTCTCACCACGCAATTGCTTCGGAGTAGGACAAGGTTTGTGCACAACTTCAGTTTTCTTTATGCTAAGTGTAAGACGAAATGCTTTACATGCAGCAGAGAAACGATTTATTAGATGTTGGGCCTCCTCAAAGGATATCGCTACAAGAGCCGTATCATCATCAAACAAGAAATCACGAATAATTTGCGTACGAAGGTGGGTCTTGGCTTTGAAGCGATGATGATTGAAGAGACCACCAGTTGTTCGAAACTGAAACTTGACGTCACTCTCTGTATCTGCAAATGCATATTTCAGCATCACCGAGAAGAAAAGGGAAAAAAGGACAGGGGCCATGACACAACCTTGCTTGATGCCATTTGTGACATCATTCTGACATCATACCATCAGACACGATATTAGCTTTCATTCTTTCATGAAAGGAGATGATGACCTTTAGCATGTTCATCTTAAGATTGGGGAGGCAACTCCATGTATTCTAGCTCACTTTCATGCTCTTCATACCAATTCTTAACCACTCGAGCAGTATTTATTGGAGCATTATCGTCTTGGAAGATGCAGTCACCATCAGGGAATAAAGTCTTGGTCATTGGATGAACATGATCTTCCAAAATGGTCAGGTAATCTTTGCTGTTGATTCTACCATGCAGGGCAACTAATGGACTGAGACACTTCCATGATATGGCGGCCCAAACTGATCCACCTCCATGTTTCACTGTTGGAAGAAGGCAGTCAGGCTTGTAAGCTTCTTTGGGCTGCCTCCACACATAAACTCGCCCTGAAATTGGGAAAAGAGAAAAAACTGGACTTGTTTGAGAATATGACTTGCTTCCATTGGTCTGCAGACCAGGTATTGTGATCTCTGCACCACTTCAACCTCTTGTGAATGTTGCGAGTGGAGAGAAGAGGTTTCCTCACAGCGGGTCTTCCATGATATGGAGCCTTATGGCGCTCATGAGAAAAGTTTGTATGGCTGCATTGTTCTGTTGAAAAATGGCATTATTGGTGTGTAGACGATTCATAAATGGGACAAGACTTTTCCCCAACACATTGATATATCGAGCAGAGTTTTGTTTCCTTTCCATCACTCCTAGATCAGCCTTTCCTGACACAGAAAAAAAAACTCCTCAAACCATAACAGATCCTCCTCCAAATGGTCTTTTTGAAAACAGCTGCATCTCCTTTCTTAAATCATGCCAATAACACTGATAGCCGTTGGACCCATCCAAATTAAACTTTTCTCTCATCAGAAAACACCAGAGTTTCTCATTTCTCCTTTGTCTATGTTACTTTTTCTTTATCCAATTTATGTGCATCTTCTTGTGTTTAGCAGTTAAAGCAGGGGCTGTCTTCTTGTTTCAATACACGAGATTGGGCGATTCATGGAGAAATTGACGAACTCTTCTTGGAGTGATGGGTAAATTCTGAGATTTTTGCACATCTTTAGAAGCTTCTCGAAAAAGTCGACATCTGGCTGCATTTGTAATTTTCGGTGGATGACCTGGACGTTTTCTGGTGCCATATGATTCAGGGTCTTTTAGATAATTTCTCACAACTGTTCGGGACCCCGACAGTTCTCTTGCAATGAAACTTATAGATTTTTCTTCCAGTTTATAGACTGAAATCTGCTCTTATTAATTTTCATTAAGTGGGGAGTTCCTAGGCATTTGGAAGTAACTGGATTCAATTATGAAATTTTTAAATAGGACTCACGTGACTTTAAATCATGATAAGAGTCTTTTTATAATCTGCGCATGCACTTAATCGTCCTTTGGCATTCTAAAGTAAACCAGATACGCAAATTTTCAAAACTTTCTTATAATTATTTCCACCCTCGAAAACGAAGTTTTGTTAATAACTTTTTTTTTGGTGGAAATTTGTTATAAAATCGAATATGTATACTAATACCATCGGATCTAGGTACCACACACAAATTTTCAGAGGAATTTGTGCAGTAATAAGAAAAATTATTAACAATTTCATGAGGTATCTTATACTTATTTCCACTACTGTATATATATATATATATATATATATATATATATATATATATATATATATATATATATATATATATATATATGTAGTTGAAAGTAAATATTAATAACTAGACTATTTAATATATTATATGCTGAACGAGGCTCGAGTTGCGTAATAAAATCTCAGGCTAAGTGACTGCAAATCGTAAAACAAGATATCTTAGAAAGTGATATTGATACAGCATACTTATCATATAAATATAGGCTGAAAGTTTTACGAGCATCGGGTACTTAATACCAGTTTTATTGCGAAAACATGAACTTGCATAATAAAACTGACATCATGCAGATAATTATGAACATACTGAGATAGATAGATAGATAGATAGATAGATAGATAGATAGATAGATATACACGAAGAGACTGAGACAGATAGAAAGATAGATAGATAATGAACAGACCGAGATAAATAGATAGATGCATATAAACAGACTGATATAGATATGAAAAGCGATAGATAGATAGATAGATAGATAGATAGATAGATAATGAACATACTGAATGAGATAGATGGATAGATAGTGAGATAGAATAATGGTCTATATAAATTACAGATTGTTAGATATATAATGAGCATTTCGAGATAGATAGATAATGAGTATACCTAGATAGTTACATAGATATCAACGAACTAAAATAGATTGATATCAGGCTGATGTAATAAATATAAATAGATATATATATAAGTATATAAATATATATATATATATATATATATATATATATATATATATATATATATATATATATATATATATATATATATATATATTTATCTATTTATATATATATATATATATATATATATATATATATATATATATATATATATATATATATATATATATAAACAGACAGATACGAACAGACTAACAGATATTAACAGAAGCATAAGTATAACAAAAAATATATATGAACATAGATATATAGACATGATCAGTCTTAGATACGGGACTGACATATTTCTCTCTCTCTTTCTCTCTCTCTGTCGCACACACACACACACACACACACACACACACACACACACATACACACATATATATATATATATGTGCGTGTGGGAAGAATTTTCTGATGTGCTATATTTATGGGTATAAGTTCTCAATGTCAAGAACAGAGCGTGTACGAATATAAGACTGAAAAGTGAGGCAGGCTAACATCGAGTGGGGACAGTCTGTTTCATACTTGGACTCAGTTTTCAATTTGGTCTTTCCCTATTTTGTATAATTCGCCTGTAAAATTTGGTGTATTTAACCTATTGTTCTAAAAATTGAGTTTTGTATACCATTTTTTGTGCTTATTAACATATAAAAAACCTGGCATCATATTCTGAGAACTGGATAAAAATATTCAAAATTGATGGGTGTACGAATAATTTCGTTGTTGACTATATATATATATATAAATATATATATATATTAACATTGATCTCTATCTAGTCATTTATCAAGTTAGATATGAACAAGGACAGATATATATAAAAATCGATCGATCGATAGATACAAATAGAGAGGGGTTCGAACAATAGACGGATAAAAGGGAGGAGTTCAAGAGTGATTGATTCGTTTTCTACGGTTTATCAACCCTTTGAAGGTTATTTAAAGCCAGAAAATATTTTTAGATTCTAAGAATATATTTTGACGATAATAATGCTTTACAAATGTTAATAACTTTATTCTTTAAATTTCTTTTGCTTAATCAGTAGATTGGTTGATTCATTCGTTTTTTTACGGTTTATCAACCCATTGAAGGTTATTTAAAGCCAGAAAATATTTTAGTAAATTTTTTTTATTTCGGAGATAGTAATGGTTTAATGATACAAGTCTTATTAATTAACCCATAGCTGGGGGAAAAAGAGGTGGATTCATATATTTTCCAGTGGTATTTTTCGCGTAAGTTAATATAACGAGCTTGATTGTAATTGGAACTTGGGTAACCAATTTCAAATTCACCACCTGCACACCCAAGCTTACAACACTTGTCATTGCCAACTGGTGAGTGACAAAGAAGAGGGAATGAAGGAGGGGAAAAAGAGAAAGAAAGAGAGAAGAAAAAGAGAGAGGAAAAAGTGAGAGAAAGAGCGAGAGAAAAAGTGAGAGGGCGAAGAGAGAGAGAGAGGAGGAAAGGAGATATAAATGAGAGTGAGATATAAAGAGAAAGAGATAGAGGAAAATAAAAATAAAAAGAGAGAATGAATGAAGGGGAAATGTGAGATAGAAAGATATAGAGAAATAAAGAGGGAAGAAAACCAGAGAGAAAAAAAAGAGAAAGAACGAGAGCTAAAGAGAGAGGGAGAAAAGGAGTGGAGAAAAGAGTGTGAAGAGAGAAGGAGAGAGAAGCACAGAGAAAGCGAGAGAGGAAAAAATAAAGAGAGAGATTGAGAAAGGGGGAAATGTGAGATAGAAAGATAGAGCGAGGGAAAGGAAAAAGAGAAAGAAAGAAACAAGGAAGAAAAAGAGAAAGAAAAGCGGTAACAAAAGAGAGAGAGAGAGAGTGATGAAAAGAGAGAGGAAATGAGAGAGTGGAAAGAATAGAGAGAGACATACACATAGAAAGCGAGAGAGGAAAAACGGAAATAATGAGAAGGTATGAGAGAGGGGAATGAGACGGAAGTGAAAAAAGAAAGAAAAAGAGAAGGAAACGAGAGAGTGAGGAAAAGAGAGACTGGAAAGAGTAAAAAAAGAGAAAGACACAGAGAAAGCGAGAGAGCAAATGAGAAATAAAGCGAGGGAATGAGAAGGGGGAAATGTGAGATAGATAGTTACATAGATAGATAGATAACGAATAGACTGAAATAGATAGATAGATAGATAGATAGATAGATAGATAGATAGATAGATATGAGCGAGAGAAGGGAAAAAGAGAAAGAAAGAGAGAAGGAAACGAGAGAGAAGAGAGAGAGAGAGAGAGAGAAAAAGAAAGAGCGAAAGCAAAGGTGTGAGCGAGGAAAAGAGAGGGGAAATGAGAGTGCGGAAATAGAAAAAGGGAGCGAGACATCTTTTTTGCCTACGGTCAAGTATGTAAATAATTTAATGAACAAATGAAAGCAATGTAAATGATGCTTTCAATGCACGAAAATATGTATGTATGTATGTTAGTAATATAATGGATTGCAGTGCTCTGCAAAATATGTAACCTAATATCTGTTATGTATTGTACGGGCCTCCCGAAGATGTTGCCTCGTAGATAGAGAGGACCTCATATAACTATTATGCATGTGAATATTGTTTAGTGGCGAGAAAATGTCCACAGACACTTTCAAATTGGATGCTTTTAGCATAATGATAATGGTAATAGGCCATGCTTAAGTGTAATTGGGTACATGGCTTAGTAGTTACAACGTTCGCTTTCTGACCACGAGACCTGAATCTCACCATTGTCGTTTTTTCAGGAAGCTGACTTCTTGATGTTATCGAGGTGGGGGGAGGCGATCACAGCGCGCGGCACCTTTGGAAATTGCCTGGAAACAATGACCACGGATTGGCCCAAGTCTTGTAAGTGAAACTGTGTAAACAGAATCTTTGGGGGTCGTAGATATCTGTGTTAGCACGAAGTCACAAGTCATCGTGCCCGAGGATTTGAGCGTGCCCTGTTCATACTGTTGATCACGCTAGATAACACACTCTCCCTCTCTCGGAAGCTGTAACTAAGGTCTGATCAGCATAGTTGCAGTATAAACCACGTGCGCTCTGCGGGTGTTGAAAAAACGCAAATGTGCCTGAGCAGGCGTCTGAAAATGGGGATTGGCTGGCCGCCTTAGTAGACGGGTATCCTCGGATACGAGTGGTCAGCCATTTTTTTAAAAAGTGTAATTGCTAAAAACGCTTAACAGATAGAATTGACAAAGGTTCCAATAAAAAATAAGAAAAAATAAGGCAAAAATAATAATAGCAGACAATATATATGCAAGGCAAATGTTGGCAAAGAAGCAGTAGTAAGGCAAAGTAAGAATGGTGTTAGCACGCAAAAGAGTTACAGTCAGGTGATTGTAGCGTTCTGATTTCAAGACAAGAGAGAATAAAATATGGCGGATGAGACCGAAAAGTGATTATTTTTTAATGGTTAGAAATAAATCATAGCAGGCATCTATAAGATTTGTCTGTAAATTTATATAAAGAACTCTGAGATGATTTAAGAAGTCATTCCTAGCAGACCGTTTCCTTATAGGGAATCATTCAAAAATTCGCTGACAGAATTCGGTTAATATTTACAAAATATTTCTATTAAAATGATTTTCATAAAAATACGTTTTTCAAGTCCACTGTTATCGCTCCTTCCAGTATCGACGGGAGCTCCCTTCTAAACATTTTATCCGAATTTGTGCGGAAAGTAAATATCTTGAATATGTTACAATTTTCGCTTCGAATCATATCCATTTTATTTATTTCTGTTTTTGAAAGTCTACAACTGATGTGGTTTTCGTTATTTGTTTATAATTCTGCAGCAGAAATTTAAATATCTGGGAAGTGTTTTGACAGAAGACGGCAAGTGCAACGCTGAGATCTGAAGATGTATTAATGGCCAAAGACACATTCCAAAAGCTGGGCAGAGTATTGCGAGACAGGAAGATTTCTTTGCTAACAAAGAAAAGAGTACTGAGCTGCTACGTGACATCTGCTCTCCTTTAGACAGCGAATGTTGGACGGTCTCCTCAATGATGAAGATGAGACTCGAGGCAACGGAGATCTGGTTCTACAGAAGGATGCTAAGGATATCATGGAGCGAAGATGTGAACAACGATGAAGTTTTTGTGGAGGCTGCAAACAAAGAGGACACAAAAGAAGGAAGAATCTGATACTCACAGGTCGAATAAAGTGAAAGAGAGGCAAAGGGAAAGCAACGCATGGCATACCTGGCGGGCTTAAACAAGTGGATGACAGAACGTCGTCTGGGAGATGTAGCAGAGGGTCGAAAATTATTGAGCGATAAAAGGGATAGGGAGAAGTGGAGAGCCATGATCGCCTACGTTCTGTAGGGACACAGCACACAAATAAGCACCTGTCGACGAGGTTTCAAGAAAGATGGTCTTTCTAAGGTTTACATGTTTTATTCGTTCGAAGCCATTTTTAACGATTGATATGAGAAAGCGTTTGTATACAGATTACAGATTATATATTTCTGAACGGGTTTGACGCCATGCACGGCATCCATATAAATGTTGCTCTTGATTCTGTGTTCAAGATCATTCTTATCCCAATCATGAATACCTCAGCATAGTCTCCATCATCATAAGGACATTGACTTCAGAAGGAAAACCAGGAACACCGTTCTCTATTAGTCAAATACGTTTTGGATGTGGTATGGAATGCTTAAATAATTAGTGCCTATTTTATCATATCTCCATTATTTCGAAGGCATGTATTCCGACGAGCTATAATCCTGTTTTTTTCCACAAGTTCTTTTCTGGGACCAGCCATGTCATCTACACAAGGAGGGATTATCCTCATTTTCTTCGTATTCCATTAGTAAAGAGGAGGTTCCACTCAGACAGGTTCTTCCCAAGAACTGTTTCTTTGTGAAACAGACTCCTGGCAGGATGTTTTCCCAATTACTGCAATCTTCATCTCTTCAGGTTTAAGGTCAACCATTATCTTTCCTACATAATACTCTACCTTGAGTGGCTCATGAGTCATATATTGGGTGAACACCAGTATAAAAAATTCCCTGCGGTTATTTGATGACATATACCGCATTTTCCGGCTCACAAGACGCTACTGCGGCTTGGAAGACACACCCTAATACTGGAAAGAAATTTCTAAGAAAAAAAGTAATTCTCCGACAACAACACATTCATCATGCGTCCCTCACATACTGGTGCCACGTATTGTTTACATTAATCACTCGTCCGATTTTGTTTGTATGGCAATGACATACTAGTCAAGAGCAGAAAGGCTCCCGCCGTTGCTGGTAAACAGAGCATGTTGTGGCTTGGCTCCAGGAAGGTTTATAGTCTTGGAAATACTTCTAACAGCTAAGTACTGAGGTTACATCATATAAAAGACTGAATTACATAGATAGCTCAACATACAAATCCACGTCCCTATCAGATAAGCCAATTAGGTGACCGTCCAAGCTTACTTGAGTCTGGGCGTTGCTTTACAATCGTATTTTTCAGGGTATTTTTTAGGAAAAAAGTGCGTCTAGCAAGCCGAAAAATACGGTATGTCTTCCGGTGAGAAAACACATCATTGCCTGACACACCTTTCTATTTTTTTATATCTGCGGGGCTCATTTTCTGTGCGTATGGAAGCGATTTTCAGCCAATATAGATTTTTGATTATTCTAATGACTTTCCCGAATATGCTTAAGTTGCTAAGTAGCTGTAATGTATCTATGTGGTGTACTTTGTCGAACGCCTTTATTGGCGAGTACAATCTTAACATTATAAGATATGTTGGTAACAAAGTGCTGATAGCAGACACGAAAGGAAACAACAAAACCAATTACAGAAGTTAGTGAAGGAATGCGAAAAACTACAAGAAGACAGAATGCATGGTTATCAACTAAAGGATGAGCCCAAAATGAAAATTATAGGTTGGGGATACTAAAATCAAGCAGGTACAGGGATTTAAATATTTGGAAAGTTTTCTAATAGAGGACGGAAAGAGCGACACTGAAATTCGAAGTCGTACTGGGATGGCCAAAGATGTATTCCAAAAAGCTAAGCAGAGTATCAGGAAACAGGAAATTTTCGAGGGAAACAAGGAAAATACTACTGAACTGTAATGCGATATTTATTCTCTTGTTTGGAAGTAAATGCTGGACAATATTCTCAAAGATGAAGAAGAGGCTTGAAGCGACAGAGATGTGGTTCTACTGATGAGTGTCCTTAGAAACAAAGAAAAGAGTATTGGACGGCTATGTAATATCTAATCTCCTATATGGCAGTGAATGCTGGACAATCTCCTCACAGATAAAGAAGAGACTTGAAGCCACAGAGATGTGGTTCTACTGACGAGTGTCCTTAGAAACAAAGAAAAGAGTATTGGACGGCTATGTAATATCTAATCTCCTATATGGCAGTGAATGCTGGATAATCTCCTCACAGATGAAGAGATTTGAAGCTACAGAGATGTGGTTCTACTGACGAGTGTCCTTAGAAACAAAGAAAAGAGTGTTGAGCGGCTATGTAATATCTAATCTCCTATATGACAGTGAATGCTGCATAATCTCCTTAAAGATGAAGAAGAGATTTGAAGCTACAGAGATGTGGTTCTACTGACGAGTGTCCTTAGAAACAAAGAAAAGAGTGTTGAGCGGCTATGTAATATCTAATCTCCTATATGGCAGTGAATGCTGGATAATCTCCTTACAGATGAAGAAGAGATTTGAAGCTACAGAGATGTGGTTCTACTGACGAGTGTCCTTAAAAACAAAGAAAAGAGTGTTGGACGGCTATGTAATATCTAATCTCCTATATGGCAGTGAATGCTGGATAATCTCCTTACAGATGAAGAAGAGACTTGAAGCGACAGAGATGTGGTTCTACTGACGAGTGTCCTTAGAAACAAAGAAAAGAGTGTTGAGCGGCTATGTAATATCTAATCTCCTATATGGCAGTGAATGCTGGATAATCTCCTTACAGATGAAGAAGAGACTTGAAGCTACAGAGATGTGGTTCTACTGACGAGTGTCCGTAGAAACAAAGAAAAGAGTGTTGGACGGCTATGTAATATCTAATCTCCTATATGGCAGTGAATGCTGGACAATCTCCTCACAGATGAAGAAGAGACTTGAAGCGACAGAGATGTGGTTCTACTGACGAGTGTCCTTAGAAACAAAGAAAAGAGTGTTGGACGGCTATGTAATATCTAATCTCCTATATGGCAGTGAATGCTGGACAATCTCCTCACAGATGAAGAAGAGACTTGAAGCGACAGAGATGTGGTTCTACTGACGAGTATCCTTAGAAACAAAGAAAAGAGTGTTGGACGGCTATGTAATATCTAATCTCCTATATAGCAGTGAATGCTGGACAATCTCCCCACAGATGAAGA